TTAACATTTTTAGTGCTTTAACATAACGTATTGTAGCACTCCAATTTGCAATCTGCTATGATATGAATTTAGTCAAGTTTTAAACCAAGAATCCCTTAATTATACTACCAAATTAGACACTATATATTTGTTTACCAAATTGGCATACAGGAATCCCCCCATCACAAGTCTGTTTAACATAAAAATTGAAACATAATAAAACCTAACATGTTTACATACATACAAAACATTTGAATTGAATTTAATACATAACAAAACATAAATAAAAAGTTGAAAAATGTAAAAATGATTTTCACATTAATTTTAATGTTCAATATTAAATATCTTAAGTAGTGATTGCTAAACTGTCACTTAGAATTGAACAAATCTAGCTGCCATCCAAAGTGATTATAGAAAACTGCAAGTTTATGAATAGATATATTTTGAGTAATATTAAATTTATACAAAGGAATTTTAAATCTAAAATAGTTCCTAGTAGATACAGGCACTTGCAGATGTAATTGTTCTAATTAAGCAGGAGGTTCAATTTGAGACTGTAACAGAAACCTTAAAAACTGTATACATTGAATATTACAAAGTGTCAGTAAAGGTGGAAAATACATTTCGGCCTCTTCTTTATTTAACATAAATTTCCTTCTACAATATCTTCTAATACAGTTATTAACTGTTTCTACTGTAGGTTTAATTGTCATCAGTTGTGTATTCTAGATCACTATCACAAATAAAATCTTTACAAACAATAGCTGAATTCAAAGATCTTAGTACATTTATTTCCAGACATTGTCTCAAAAATTAAAAATCATTCCTAAAGTTCTAATAGCAGTTGTAGTTATCTTTTCCATATGGATTAAAAGAAAATTTAGTATCATAATACACCTCTAGATCTCTAATATTCTCCTCATATTCCTGTATGTAGTAAACTGCAAAAAATCTGGGAATATAACTTGACATCATTACATTACACTTCTTATAATCCACATTCAAACAATGAAGTTTCAGCCAGTCATTCACTCTATCAAGAGCAAAATTTTTACATCCTGCATTTTTTAATATTTCTATGTAATTTTGTCATCAATATACAAGGTCTGTTCAAAAAGTATCGGACCTTTGGTCGGCAAAAATTTGAGGTACAAAACCCTAATCCCCTTCAAAGTAGTCTCCTTGGTAATGTATACACTTCTCCCAGCGTTCCTGCCATTGCTGGAAACACTGCTGGAACGCATCTTTTGGAATGGTTATCAGCCGGTCCGTCGCATTTCGCATGATGTCTTCTCTCGACTAAATTTGGGTTTCTTTTAGCGGCATTTTCAGCTTGAGAAATAGCCAAAGGTCACACGAAGCCATGTGGAGAGAGTACGGAGCGTGACGAACCACGGGAGTATTGTGTTTGGCGACGAAAGCCCGAATCAGATGCGCAGAATGGGCGGATGCGTTATCACGATGGAGCTGCCAAGTTTTGATCGACCACAGATCCCATCGTTTGCATCGCACTGTATCGGAAAGACGACGAAGGACCTCCTGGTAGTACTCCTTTGGGATGGTTTGGCCTTGTGGTGCGTACTCACGACACACCACCCCACGAGAGTCGAAAAAACTGTCAACATGACCTTTGATATTGCTGCAGACCTGCCGCGCTTTTTTTGGCCTCGAGGATCGTCCCCGAAAGCCTGCTGAATCTTGCGAATGGTTTACACTCGGGTATCGCCAAGGTTTTTGGCAAAATTTGATGTAATATCGCTGCTCACGTTGTTCAGTCATTTTCCAGCTTAGTGAAATCCGACGAGAGTGCACTACATGACCTCACTCATACGCCGATTGCCAACGACTGACGCTTCCTGCAGGCGGGAAAAAATTCAGGGCTGTGCATGACTGTCCCCTCCACAACTCCACCGAAGGAGGCCTCTCTCGCATCATTGGTTTACGCGGAAAAAAATAAGGTCCGATAGTTTTTGAACAGACCTTGTATGCTGAGATGTTTTCCAGGCTGCCTAACAGCCTTGAAAAGATAATTTATATATATGATAAACAAAAGCGGTCCTAATCGAGAACCTTGCAGAACTCCTCTACAAAACTGGAATGTTTTCAAAAGATAATTCTCCACTTTGCTTGTGTAATCAGTTGTGTAAATATGATGGAAACCATGCTACTATATAATCATGTAGTTCAAGATATCTTAATTTCTATAGCAATCGACTACAACGAACCACATCGAAAGCCCTTAACAAGTCTAAAACTATCACGTCAACCTGATTCCCATTATTGAATGCAGTTCCCACATAATTTGATAACTCCAACAAATTTATTGTTACAGATTTCTTTGGAACAAAACCATGTTGACACTGTCAGAGTTTTGTCTTCACAACTGACATTAAAAAATTACCAAATTTTCCATCTCACCACTGCAGAAATCAATACAATAGGTCAATAATTCTCTGTTTTTGTGCTATCATATATCTAATTTAATTAAATTTATGATAGAAATTTTTCCTAGAAGAGACATGAATCTAATTGCATATAACATTATTTTATCAGATTGGCCAGTAAAAACATTTAATCTGGAGTAAGATTTAAATCGGTATTACCATACTTTAATTCTAGATTAAGCAATTTAAGGCATGCTATTTGAAGTGCTATTTGAATTCTTTGTAAAAATGAATATGTCCATGTCATCTTACAATGATTTTAAGCTCTTGAGTTGAAAATAAGCAATCAATAAGTTATGTAAAAGATTATATCATAGGATTTCTTGTTTAAAAAATTCTTTCTTTTCTTCTTGATCTTTATTTGCTCTAAGTACTTTTTAAGTTTTTGTAACAAAAATAACAATTTCTTACTATTTTGAGTGGTTTCACATATATTTTGTAACTGTCATATTCTAATACATTTTTTATATTTTGCAAGTAATTTTAATGTGTGTGTCAAAGTTAGCACAATTTCTTTCACTGTTGAAATCATTTATGTAGTTTGCACATGACAATTCATGCAGACATATCATTATGCACCCAGACAATTCAGAGTTTGTAACATAGCTCTTTGCAATCCAGCATTAGATGGTTGATGAATACAAAAAGTAAATTAACTCTTAATCTAGAATTACCCAGAGTGAAATCTTGATTATGAAACTCGTGATTTAAAAATGTTGACAAATACAGCTGTAAGAGAAGAATTGGATACAAAAATGAAAGGCAGAAAAGTTGTCTGTCAACTTAAACATTTTCAAAATCAAAATATTGAGATTGAAAATAATCACTAGTTTTAGTACAGTACTTAGATAATTGTTACCAGACAATCCTACATTTGAAATTAATTTCTTTAGTTATCATTCAGTATACAACTACTAAGACATGTTCATAATTCAATCTCAAAAAGGTAAGGAATCTTATCTAAAGTCTTAAATGTATCTTAGGTGAATAAAATAAAGTTCCATCAATACCACAGTCCTCTGCCAAAAACTGACTTAAGTATTCTTAATAGAGAATCGATCACTTCCTAATCTTTTGTATGAACAAATTACAGTTTGAATTATTACTTACAAGAAGTGGCTATGAAATCTATATCATGGCTTTGGATCAGCCTTTGCATGATTATTCTGAAACATTAAAAAGTATACCCTATAAAGCCACAGGTTTCACTTCATTTTATTTGAGAAAATTGTAATTTTAGGTCATGATGAAGTTTTTTGGACCTGGCAAGTTGGTAGGTGTGGAAAAAACATTTTCACATATGTATATTATGTCTGAAAACTGATGTCAAAATACTTCTTTAAAAGAAGTTGAAAAAAAATCATTTACAATTTACCAAATGAATAAATGCAAAAGTTGCTTAGCCATACAAAATAATAACATTTTTATTTGAGAGTTGGGCTAATTAGAGGTTACTTGTAGCCTATTGAAAGCCATTTGAAAAATTCATTTGCCTGTAAAAGATATCCTACATTTTATATGTGAAGTTGCTAATTTTTGGATAAAAGTTGTATCTTATGTCATAAAATACAGATACATTATTTGGTTGAAAAATATTAGCTCAAGTATAGAACCCATGGATTAGTGCTCCATCTCCTGCAACAACAATTACTAGTGCTGACTATCAAACATTTAAGATATTTCAAGCTTTGATTGAAATTAAAAAAAAAATCCTAATTTTTTAAAAACTATCTTTGGACATAATAGACTTGTGCAAAAATTACTTGTTTTTTAATATCTATTGATTCCCAGATACAAAAGTGATCCATCACTATGACCAAACAATCACAATGTTCTCAAAACACACAAGTGGAACCTTTGGTTTTATGAGCTGTACTTTTAGTGCCTCAAAATAACTATACAAAAGCCAATCCATATCCTTAAAATATATTTCTGAGCCTTCTCTTGTTAGCCTGTTTCTCCCAAAACTCATATTTCAAGTATTGTTGTGTGAAATTCATACGGTACCTATTGTACTACATAATCCTGGCATAATACTAAATTTTTCAATTTAAATGGAATATTTTTATAAACAGAAGCATACCTATTTTGAGCTAATGTATTTTGCTATTGATACATCTCTACGCTAAGAATATTAAACTATTTATACTCTTGTGCAATTGATAAAAAAGACATGATAAATAAACAAATATTTTTGGCAATTTAATTTAATTTAGTTTGATGTCATCTTGCCATTTACAAGCCAATATATATTTATCTTACCATTGTAATCAGCAAGTGTTTGGATATTAATCTTCATTTGTTAGAAAAATCTCTTATGCCTGACAATTAATTTGAACAATGTCCTTGACAAGATTTGGTTTTAACCATTGATAAATTAACAGTAATTTGGCACAAAGTGTCCTATCAATAAGAACATGTGCCAACCCTAAGATGTTTCTGCATTTTAGATAAATGCCAAATTGTGAAAATCATCAACATGCAGTATTATAGTATCAATTAATTTTGCCCAGTGTAACTATAAAAATTTAATTTATTTTTGTGAAAAAATATTAAATACAAATATCAAATGCCTAAAAGGACTTTACAATATTTTAGTCAAAATAATCATAGTTTAAAATCCAGTTTATAAAAATTTGTGCTATTTAAGCTAAAACAAAACGTCAAAAATTTGCAACATCATCCCAGAAGGTTGAAATTGATGATTTGCAAGCATCTTTCACTTGTTCATTTGTTAAATGCATAAACAGTTTTTTAAATGGAATGTAATTGATTAATGTTGATTTACTTCCGACAAAAATCAATTTCAGTTTTGCGCGTGATATTGCTACATTCAAACGTCTTTCATCTTCTAAAAGTTCTGCTACCTGTAAATTTAACCAAAGACTAATGTAAGTGTCTGCATTTGATATTTTTTTTCACTTGTAAATGCAATCACATCTTACCTTATTGCCAGTTGAGCTTCTAACACAAGAGATGATGATGACTGATTTGTCTCTTCCTTGATACTGGTCTACCGTATTTACTTCGATAGTCGGGAGATGATGTCTCTCAAGAGAATTGCAAATTAAACTCACTTGTTTCTTGTAAGGGGTAATTATACCAATATCATTTTCTAATATTCCACCCTAAATTTTAAGAACTTTTATTATTACTTAAATCTATTTCAATAATTATTAAGGTAACTTTTACCTTAATTATAGTCCATGATATCTGAGTAACGATATTTGCTTCTATTTCATTTTGGACTAGTCCTTGAGAGTCATAAGACTCTGGAGCAGGAAGACCGTCTAAATTCAAGAAAAGTATGGAATTTGTGGACTCAGACAACAGCAATTTGTGCCAACCAATGCTGTCTGGAAGACAACTTAATTTGGGAATAATCAGTCTGGCATTTTCAACATCTGCCGAAGCACATTTCAATTTTCCATCGTATGTTAATAAATTGCAGAGCATCATTATTTCTCTGGGAAAAATATGCAAAACTTTAAATGCCATCTTAACGTAATTTAAAGAGTTTTGATCTTACCCATTCATGCGATACTGCAGGTTCAATTCTATGGTGTTTTCTGCCATTTCCAGTCTCAAAAATAAACTCTCAGACATTCCTCGCAATCTGTAAAATAAAACACAAATTTTGTATTTAAACCATATATATAAATTACTCAAAATATAATAAAAAATCTCACCTTGCTTCTTTATTCTGTACAACTGGAGGCAACTGTTGAGAATCTCCAATCAAAATAAATTTGTTTGCATAAAACAGAGGTCCCAAACATACTGTCTGTAGGATCTGAGAGGCTTCATCCACAATGCAGAAGTCAAAGCATCTGTGTTGAAACACTGGATGGTTGATTCCTAAACAGGTAACGCCCACTACTTTCTACTAAACAGGAAAAAAATAACAGTATTGTACAAAATTTAAAAACAACTTTATATCAAGCAAGCAATGCACCAAAAATATGGACTTTCTCCAATTTACATAAATGTTATGTTACACAAACTCATATGTAAGCTAGAATTAATTTCTTGTAAATGTATCCAAAATGGTTAATAATGTAAGTTACATTGAAACAAAGCACAATTAGAGAAACATTGCAAAGATAACTGTTAGTGCACAGTCATCAAGTGACATTATATTTTTTTAGTAAATGATAAACTGAATTTAATTATTTTTATAGTTATGCAGAAACCTCTCTTATTATAATGTAAGTCAGGAAGCATTTTGTACAGTCTTTCCAAGCTTAAATGTGAAAATTGAGTTGCTAAGATTTTAACAATATTTTTACTTAAATCATAACAATCATACCTAATACTATTTGATGAATTTTACAGAATAGCTTTATGCAAAATTGCAAAATTTAAGTTGGCATAATAGCAATAAAAGTTAAATAATACAGATATTACAGTATTACATTTCTTTAATTAATAGCACATATCATCAATTCAGAATATCTTTAATTCTATTCATAATTCCTTCAGACTGGAGTGGCAGTACTAAAGCTCTTTAAAGAACATTCTAAAATAAAAATTCCAGTAAGTCCTCATCCATATATAGACTAATGTTTTTGATCGTCCCTCTGGATCTTTTATTTTAGAAGGTTCTTTAAAGAGTTTTAGTACATTTAATTCTATAGAAATTCTTTCTTAATTTTTGAATTTCACAACTTTATACCAAGAAAGTTTGCATTATCCATATTATTTTCTTTTGTGTCATAAACCTTAGGAGCCACAACATTGGTAATAATACATGAAAGTGCTATATATGAGGGATATTTTTAAGTAAGGACCATTTGGCAATATCTTTTTTAAAATGCATACATTCATAATTTTGTACGTGCACATGCACAGTGTCTCCCTACATTCCTTGCACATAAACAGATGCATTTTGAATCATGTCAGCAGTGTGTGCATTTTGTGTCATATGATGTAAATGTTTAAGATGATCAAGTGGTCTATTATTTGCTTCCTGACTGCAAGAATTGTGAAACTGGCAGAAATTCATCACTAGATCTGTAAAGTTTATGGTCTGAATGCCATGGGTGTCAGTAAAGTTTGTAAGTTGGTGAGACTGCTTACGGAAGGTCAAGAAAGAGTTCGTGATGAACCACACTCAAGCCATCTGTTTGAATCACTGACAATCTTGTGTGTGAGGTAGACACCATGATTTGTGAAAACAGACAATTCACCATTTCCATACTAATGAATTTTCCTACAAGTCTCATGGTCAGTTCTTTACAAAATTGTGTCAAAAAACTTGGATTATAGGAAATTGTGCTCTCACTGGGTTAAGAAGATGCTTACCAAGGAATGCAAAATGAAGAGATTAAACAGTACTTTGACATTTTTGACCAAAACCATGAAGATGATGAACTATTGAACCATATCTTCACAGGGGACAAGACATGGGTGTCTCATGTGACCCATGGATCCAAACAGCAGATGCTGGAGTAGTGACACACATCCTCTCTGATAAGAGTGAAATTTGAGCAGACAATCTCAATTCACAAGATTATGACAATCATGTTCTGAGACAAACACGGTGTTTTATGGTGGACTTCATGACATAAAGGACAACATTATACACTGCTGCATACTGTCAGACTTTCAGGAAACTTTGCCACACATTCCAGAATAAATGCCACAGCATGTTGTCTGCAGGAGTTCTATTGCTTCACAACAATGCGAGGCTCCATACTATTGCTTTAACACAAGCTCTAGTCAAATCTTTTGGATGACAGCAATTGGATCACTCCCCATACAACCCAGACCTGACACCAACAGACTACTACATCTTCCTGCATCTGAAAAGATTCCTCACTGGCAAGCATTTCCAAACTGATGAAGAAGTGAAAGCAACAGTTCTCTCAGTCAGCACACTTCTATTACACAGATCTACAGAAACTGGTGTCATATTATGATAGGTGTTTCAACAACAATAGAAACTATGTGGAAAAGTAGCTAAAGGTAAGTAGGATCTGAGAAAAAGTACCTGTAATATTTAGTAGTTCATTTTTTATTGTAAAATAATCCTAAATTTAACTCTTGTGTTATAAAAGATGCAAGTTGACAATGTTATCTAGAGAGCATGTGTAAAATGTAAATATTACTATATACAGTGGAACCTCGGTATACGACATTAATCCGTTCCTGATGTTTGGACTTATACTGAATAGGACGTATACCAAACCAATCTTTCCCATTAAAAGTAATGTAAAAGTGATTAATCCGTTCTCATGTAAAAAAAAAAAAAAAAATAGCTGGCTTTAAACACCTCGCTTTCCTGGCTAGTTCCTGCTTGATTTTTCATGAGGTCAGCATGTATCTTTTTAGCTTTCTCACAAATAATTGCTTCTGATACGCTGTCGCCAGCACACTGTTTTTCAGTTATTCAAAGAAAAGCAATTCTCAACATGATCTAATGTCTTCGATCTCTGGTTAGAAATTGATTTAACCCCTTTAGCAGATTTAATAATGTCTTTATTTTTCACGATTGTTGGTATTGTCGTTCTCGGAATATGGTATGCAAAAGTTAAATCTTGAACACGCATGACACCTTCATATTTCTCAACAATCTCTTTTTTTCAGTTCCATTGTGATTTTAGTCATTTTTTTATTTTTCTGTTGCTTTTTTTGCAATTCATGATTAATAAAAATAATAACATTTTACTTACAAATTAAAATAAGAAATTTAACAAAGTTATAAACTGTGGCACCACGAACGTCTAGTCTGGTTTTTTTTTTAACTCTTTTCGCCCTGTGGGCACTAAGAGGGCCTCTTTTTGCAAGCCCATTATGGGTTCGGCCAGGCCCACAATGGGGCTGCCGGGTGGTGAGGAATGGGACCCGATATATCCGAACGGACCACCCCCCGAAAAATTCCTGGGGATTTCCCCGTTCGGATTCGAGCCCGGTTCCCCAGAGCGGTAGGCTGCCACCTTGACCACTCGGCCATCTGGCCGCTCTAGTCTGGTCTAATACACCGATAATGCTACTTATTTATAGATGACGTCTATAATTGAATTAAGTCGTATACCAAACAAAAGTTGTATACCGAGCAAAATTTGTTTCGTCCAAACAGGACGTATTCCGAATTGGACGTATTCTAAAGCAGACGTATACCGAGGTACCACTGTATTTTTTAAAATAAATTTCACTTTGCTTATTTTATTTATACTTTTATGTGTAAGCAAAGTACACATTTCATTTTCATGAATAATTTTTCCAAACAATTTAATGTTTGTGGTCTGGCTCCCTTCAATTATTAAGGTGTTAATATACATCCATCGAAATAGGGATATTGGCAAACAAACTTTTAAGCAACTTTTGCAACATTTAAAAGCATAAATACAGCAAATTTTGTGCAGTTTTACACTGACCAATTTTTAGCTGATCTCTAGAGACAAAACATGGTATCCACCAAAGCAAGATGGCTGTAGCAGACAAACACGAAGTTCCATCCTGGTTCTCCTAGAGACTTCAGCAAAAATGAAATTGAAAATGTTCTGAAATCCAGAGGACAGTATTAGAGACCTTAATTGGTAGTATGACAATGTAGAGGATAATGACAGTGAAGACAACGTAAAAGTAGTGTGATGCTTTTCCAAGGCATCCACCATGTATTGTCAACACATTATGTCCCAAATGATTCTGTACATACAAAATGTTAACCAACACTAGGTTGTAAAACTTTAATGCATAGTTGAGACAGAATATTTGGGCAATTTTTTTAACTTATGGACTGTACTATATGGAGGTGTAATGCAGTTTATTTCCCATAGAGATATGGATTCACATGACTATACACAGTTATCCGTCTAGGCTAAGGAGTTTAGAGCACAGTTCTGGAATTTATGCCTTTTTTGTTGTCTGACTTTAATGTATAGAAAACACTAAAAGAAGGCACATTTCTGGCAGGGCATACATTTCAAGAAACACCAAGAAAACAATTGAGACACGAAGACTTAGGAACTCATTTGTAATGTACAAGAAAAATGCAGGGATTTGATAAAAGAGCACACAGAATCAATATTTTACAACTTCTGGAACCTTGAAGACTATAAATAAATAACAGATTTTACTTTGTGAAATCACAAGCCAAGAAGTAATTGTTAAAAAGTGTAGGTTAGTAGTTCCCACTTACTTCATTAAAAATGTTATTGTAAGCCCAATTGTATTATTATTATTGTTTCTTTTTTTAGTGAAAACAAGGAATCATGGAGATGTGTTCCTATGCACACACTGTTGTAAATAAAATTGATATTCAAAGCTGCAACATTCCAGTTTAAAATGTATGAGCCATATAGGTAAAGTACAATCATATAGCTATCATTACAAAGAAGGCATACTTTCAGAAGAAAGGACAAGCAAAGGAGATGCCACACACTATTGAAGTATAATGCCAAGCTATTATTTGCAAAAAGTAATATGGGTGATGTGTCCTTGAAGAAGTTGGTTCCCACTGCCTACTATACAGACAGTTTATCACCAACCAATAACAAGCATTGCTAAAGTACACATGGAGGACAAACAATGTGGAAGTTGACTGATGTCGATTATTTTTTGTCTTTTGAAGTAAATATATCTTGTAAAAAAAAAAAACAAATTTGAATTTTGATGTTCTTATATTGTAGATAAATGGTATATATTTTTGTATAAAGGTGAATGTCAAAAACACATAATGACACATCACAATATTAATTAATTATTATGTGGAAATAGTTTACAGCCATTCAGTGCTATCCCAAATTGCTGGAGATGATTTTTGATTGATTACCAATGTGTAACAATTAATAAATTAAGGTTTTGCATTACTTTTGATGTCAAGCTATACAGTAGAAGTGCAGGAACTAAATGGTAATGTCAGTTTATCAATGTTTCTTAAAATATGATTTTAAAGATATTTCAAAGTCATAAATGTATAGATTATCACCTTGTAGTCCTGACTCTTTCAATTATAAAATATATTTTTAGAAATCTTGAAAGAGTTGCACTAAATTTGCCTACAAATGTTTTCCCAGTTTTATACTAACATAAACAACAAAAATTTTTATAAACACCTTTGAATTATAGAAATATTCCAATTCTTTGGTAGTTTTTATATTTTCTGTTAAAATTTCCACAGCATGAGAGCGAACTTTGGGATGAATTCTGGATAGTCGACCCAGACGTACAAAGTCAACATCATGCTCTTTAAGCTTCATGAGAATGTTATCCAGAGCAGAATGCGTGTGCGAAGTGAGCAATACAGAATTGCCTTTCTCCACCAACAATCTCACTAATGTTACTAAAGTGAAAGTTTTACCTAAAATAAAAAACAGGAAAATTAAAATAAATTATTTTAGTTTAGATCACGTATTTAATAAGTGTAACTTACCTGTTCCAGGCATCCCTTTTAATAAAATGTAATCATTAGAAGAAAGTATTTTTTCAATAGCATTTATCTGCTGCTTATTTAATGATTTGAATATTGGACTTTCTTCGTCTTTCAAAGGAAAAGTTTGTTGGAATGATGGAGGCTGAAGATCTATCAGCCATTTCCGTAACCGAGCAGAACCATCGGCATCATCCATCAGATGCAACAGATTAGTCAACTGTATGGTGGTTGAAGAATCAAATGTTCTCTTGTCCACTCGATATGTTTCTTTGGTCCAAGTTGGCCTTTGATAAAGGTCTCTTAAATGAAAATTATTTTGAAATTTAAATAAATTTTGCATACTAAGTATAACTAAAAATAAACTTACATGTAACAAATCAATTTTTAAAGTATAAAGATTCAACATATTTATGAAAGAAAATCAAAAGAGTTTGATGACTCATTTCCTTGTTACAAGTTGTTTTGTTTATTGAAACAAAAACAATACAATACATATTGATCAATCTTCTCTTTTTCTACATAATCACCAAGGTTTTAAACATCTGTTCCAGAATTATATAAGTTTTTAATACCATGTCTGAACAAATCTGGGCCCAGCCTCTTAAAACACTCACATTGCAAATTCCATATCGTTGTCAGACTGGAAATGTTCACCTTACAGAATGTCCTTCAGCTTGGAGAAGAGATGAAAATCACTGGGTGCAAGATCTAGACTGTGTGATAGGTGGTCCAGACGTTTTCAAATGAAATTCTTCAAGAATGCCTTAATGTTTTTGGCAAAGTGTGGTCACATGTCATCATCAAGGAGGATTGTGCTTCTGGTTGACAATACGGACCTTTTTTTCTGAATAGCCACCTTTAACTTTTGCAGCAAAGTTTGATAATACATTTGTCCATTCACAATTTGTCTGTGATGCATCTAGTTTTTCAACTAGCACCTTGAAATCTTTGAAAAATTGCACTGAGATATGAGCAAGCCCACATTTCACAGGTATGGTAACAATTCACTATCAATTCTGTTTTACTGGAAGTATGGTCAGAAGAGTAACTGTATGAGACAGTTACAGAAAAGATGTAGCTTCATTTTCACACAATATTGTCACTTATATTTGCATTACAATAGCCAGGAAAAAATCAATTTTTTTTATTATTATTCTTCCTCATATTTGTCAAGATATCTCAAAAAGTCAAGCAAGAATTACATGTTATAAAGGAAGTTTTGATTTTTATAGAAAATAGGTACAATGAATAAAACATTATTTACAACATGAAATAATAGATTAATTTAAACAAAAATAGGCAATATGAATTTTCACAATGATCTTGCTGTTACCTGGCAGAAAGCGTCACTGTATGATAGCTCAAAATTTTGTTTATTGGTTGAAAATGAAAAATGATTTAGGAGTATTAAAGTACTATATAGTGCTATGTAGTAAAGAGTGAGCTTTCTAAAGTCAAGGCCTACTTACATGTCCTCAACTTTAGACATAGAAGATACCTGTTATACAGCGAGTGTTTGAGCAATAATATTTTGATAGACAAGCTACCGAAAACCTTAACATTGTATGAACAACAGAATATAATATTGTTTCATTGATATTCCAATTTTTTAGATTATAAGAAATGTCAACAACAAACAAGTTATAACTCATATGGCTAGAACTATGTTGACCAAAAGCTTAATGTTTAATGTGTGTAGTCATTTTTTTGGAATGAAAACATGAACATAGATTAACACAGAAAATGATACAAGATGAACTAAGGAAATTATATCCATTTGTCATCTTTCATGTATGTGTGCCTTCAATAAATTACTTATGTCATTATTGCTTACATTTCATTGAATCTTGCAACTTGACTTACTAATTTTTTAATAGGTAGCAATATTATATTAGTCTTTAATCATATGAAAATATAACCTTTCATTATCTATATAACAATATTTCCAAAAATCATGTAATCCTAAAATGATTGTTCACATGACTGCATCTTCGTGTCTTTTGAAAAAATAATTGATTATATTATTACTACTACAATTCTCTCAAAATATGTTATTGTGTATATTTTAATAAAAATAGATACAAAAACTCACACAAATGCAAATATAATAAGATATTTACCTGTCTAAGAGAATTTCTACGCAATTATTGTTAATATTAATAATTTCTCCTGTACCGACAGCTAATTCTCTACTTTCATTCTCACTGACGATAACACAATCAGATTCTTGTAATCCCATAATTGATGTATGTCCATTTAAACTATGTCTCTTAAACAAATGAATATAACTCTTTTTTGTTGACCATTTATCTGAACGTTGCAATGTAGGAATGAGAACCATTTTGCTGAGACATAAACCCTGTTGCTCTCTGTAAAATTTGATGTGTTAAAGAAATATTTCACACAAGATATTTTACTAATTAATTATTCAAATGAATGAAAAATAAAAATTAATACCTTTCAATTACATCTTGTTTCCAAAACTGATGCCCAAATGAATTTTTTGAACTCTGCTTTTCTAGATGTAGCAATATATACCAATGCTTAAAGTAATTTAAATGAGAAGCAGATAGATGATTAGTATTTTCAGGAATTAATTCATTCATAATGTGATCTGTATCCAATTTACCTCCAAATATCCTAGAAAAATAAGTTTATTTCAATATTTTTCTAAACTAAATGTTACTATCATTTTAATATCTACCTTTGATTGAGAGTACAAGGTAAGAGAAGAGGACATTTTTCACAAAATCTTTTTTTATTTATTGGTTGTGGAACACCATCCAAAATGTGACTGGATTCTGAGGAGAAGCTGCGTGGATTCGAAGAATTGATTATATGGTGGACCAGATCATTTCGCAACTGGATTAAATCTCGGCGAACATCATGAGAAGAAATGATGGATCTCATTTGTGGTCCATCTTTTAAATATAACAACAGACCATTATTGCAATCTTCATTTCTGTACTCCATCATCATGGTATAGAGAATAACTTGAGCTTGATGTTCAAATGAAAACGATGATTTTCCTGTCTTCAGTTCAATAGGTATGTGCTGAAAATATTTAATGCTATTAAATACAGTATAAGTTATATATATTTATAAATAAATAAATGGTTAGACCACAAGTCTATGACAACATTTAATTTCATAAATTTCTAGTATCAAGTTGGGGAAAAATTCACTTAATAAAATGACTTTTTACAAAAATTTACCAGTAATATTGCTGTACCACTATGGGATACTTATTATGATTATTGTGAGAATTGTAAGTCATACTCATGAATCATGTCATTCCGTAGTTATTTTAAAAGAAGCACTTTATCATTCATCTAAGCACATTTGACAGCAAGAACTCTCCAAATTTCCTACAGTTTAGCCAAAGATATTGAATAAATCTATAAAAATTAGATAGTTCATTTTATTATACGAAATTAACAAATGTGAAACAGTTTTAAAACATTATCATTGTGGAGTTCAATTGGCAATAAAACATAAAAGAATAATTTATTTTATATATTAAAATAATTTAATAAATTATTTTGCTCATTGGGCATCGCTACTTATCTTTTGTATAAGGAATAAAAAATAAAGAATAACTATTAATTATCATAATGTGCAAACTATAACACATTTGATAAGGAAGAGTGCATTCAAATCTTAGTATAGAAAAAAATACTTTATAAATTCATAAAGTACAATTAAATGCAAATGCACACAAATATACATTAATACACAGACTAAAATTTTAAAAAATACAAAAGTAATATATCAATCTTCTTGACTTACATTATGTACTGTACAATCATAATTATTCAACTGCACAATTTACTTAGATTAAACTTTTTAATGAAAAAAAAAAAAAAAAGAGTTCTGATAATCATTATAAATTAAAAAGTGAGTGCACAAATTGTATAAAGAATATCCTATAAAATATATATTTCAATATGTAATAAATTCAGTTAGAAAGAACAATTTATCATCAAGTTTGTGTGTAATTATTCTATGTGTAAATTAAATAAAAAGTATATAAAATCACAATTTAAATTATTTTGTTTAGGTCATACAATTAGCTTAATATTGTATCATGAACAAAATATGATTATAAACTACTGTTAATGTGACATATTAGTTTATAGTGATATGTTACACAACAGATTATAATCATGTGACATGTTCATTTACATTATACAAGTGTAACATGTCATATGACATGTCTATGATCATTTTATAGAGTTCTGGATGGCAATCATTAATTTTACTATTGTGTACATGCATTAAATATCTCATAAATTATGGAAATAAATTATGATAAAAAGTTCACAAATTAAAAAAATATATTGAGGAAAAGAAAGCACACCATTTTTTTAAGTCAGTTAAATAGTCTTACTTTTTTTTTACTGTGAATATTTACTTCTGCAGTCAAGTCTATTTTTCCTCTGATTCCATATCGTGGACACCAGATTGCGTCTTCAATGTCGACAATTGACGATATAGTCATTTCCGACCTTTTTTCTTTCTCATCTGTTAAACAGGAATTCATATTTTCTTGTTTCCATTTAATTATGTGAGGAAAATAATTAGCAGCTTCCTGTTTTATTACAGTTTCATTAGTTTTGTTCTCGTAACTAGAAATAATAAAATAAATTATTTTAAATATTACTTGAGAAAAATTTATCAAGCTATTTTGTGAATTATAAATTATTTATAGTATGCATTATTATTATTATTATTATTTATTAATAAAATAATTTTTTAAGGATTTTTCTGTTATTATTTTACTTAATTTTAATTATCTGTACTTAAAATACTCTGTTTGCATGCTAAATTCTTACAGAAAATTAAGATTTCCACGTTGCGTTAGTATGGAATGTAATCTCTCATTTAGAGATTCGTATGAGATCTCATCATCTTGAACAACCTACAAGAAATTTTGAATTAGTTTCAATTTTTATATATGTATTATGTCTGGCAATAGATAATTATAGATATTCATACACTCAAAATACACTATTTATTTAACTGCAAAACATAAATTTTAACTCAGTCTCCTGAACTGGTGTATGTTTACATAAAAACATTTTAAAATTAATTTTGTATTTATTTATAAATAATCATGCCTCTTGAAAAAGTTGATGTATTATTGTTCCCAAAAGCATAGACATATTTCCAGAATCCCATCCTTGAAACTTATCCGCCAATACAGTTTTTCTCATACAGAACAATGCAGATGAAACTGTTGTGCTGGATATGAGATAGTCGGGATGAATAATTAAGAGGCCATTTTCATTGTCTATTTTTGCACGTCCTTCAATGAATTCAGCTTGGACACATACTACATCTCCTACTTCACAAACTGTATTCATCCTATTAAAAAATAAAACTTGAATTTATTTTGTTTATTTTAAACTTTTTCTAAATTATGGTTTTTGTTCGACACAAATGAACATAAATATATTTCTGATGAATATAATTTAACTTTTACTAATCTTGAACAAAAACATTCAAAATGAGAGTATGCTGGGCTTTTAAATACGCAACAACTTAAATACCAAAAATGCATAAATGAACTAAATAGATAGCAAAAATGTAAAATAAATACCAAAAACAATAATTAGAAATAAAATTAAAAATATATACAAAATGAAAGATGAGAAATAGGTGAATGTACTGTATGTATGGTAACTTCTTACATTTCTATACTTTTACCCAAGTGTCATTTGGAGTCCAGATCTAAGAACACTTTCTAAGCTGCCGATAATACATTATTGTCTTTGTAATTAATGGGTTAGTCTATGGATATCAGTTTATAAATATGCAGTGCCTCCATATATTTAATATGTTATAGATTGTACACTTACAAGTCAAAGTTCTCAAGAGTAACAGGCAAACCAATACAGGATATTCATGTTTGCTTTAAGTGTTAAAATATAACTCATTCTATGAAATCAGTTTTTACCTCCAATTTATAATAAAGTTATACTAGGCTGAAAAATGAGATCAACACAATTGAATCCAGAAAAAAAAAATTGCCCTACGTCACCATTTTTGAAAATGTATGTTTGCTTCAATTATGCACAATAGAAAGACAAATTTGAACATTTGTGCACCATGCATGCAGAGAAGATTGAAGTAGCCTCCAAATCAAGGCTTATATCTCAAAAACCAAGACACATTCATATTTAATACTTTGCAGATCTTAGTTCAAGACCCTAAGCTATCTTATTATGAATTTGAACAAAATTGGAGAGTCAAGCAATAAAAGTTTGCACAGTTGGCATGGAATGGCTTACTTGGATATGCCCAAAATATAAGACCCCTTTTATTGCTCTTGTGTAATAAATATAATCTAATTTAACATTGAGGTTTCAAACATGCCTATCAATTTGTTGCTAAACTGAGTAATGTGTACTACTCTCAAAAATTCCTTTACTGATAAGATTTAAGCTCTGAATAAAGAGTTTTGCATTTCCAGAATTGTAAACCCTTCTATATGAGTAAAACAGTCAAAGAAACTATACCTATTGATGCAACCCTTTGCAAGATATTCACTTCCAAAGATAAGTTTTTAACATGTATCAGTATACTACCTATTCTCCATGCTCCATGTCATCAAGGCAAGCGATAGCAAGTCTTGATCCACATATAGTTATGCACTTCAATGCAAGTGATAGCAAGCATCAAAGTGCCTGGGTGGGACAAGCCCCCACACCCCCTAAAACTATATAACATCAAGTACAATCAAGTGGGCTACTCAAAGCAGGCATAGTCACATGGGTGAATAATTAATGCAATAGTCTTAGCAGAGCAACATGACTTGCAATCTCGTGTGACCTGATTTTGAGGGGGCTTATCTTGCATAGGGTTGCCTGTAGAGGTGTGGTTCCTTTGACTTTTTTGCTCCTATGCATATGGGCTACAGCTCTGATAAGGTCAGAACCATCTCATTCAGAGTTTGAATTATACCAATGCATATTAATTAAATGCCATTAAAATTTATCTTTAAAGAGATTTATACTTCTAAAACATTAATAATTTTTGCATAAATATATAAAGTATTAATATTAACATTTAAATAGACTGTTACAAAATTCTAGAAAAATGTATTTAAAAATTGTGGCGATTTTATAAAATTAACCTAAAGTTATAAAATAGTTATTAAATATTTCTTTTGAAATCAATTTACATACCAAACTCCTTCGAGAGAACAGATTCTCTTTACATTTTTCTTTTCCAAAGTCAGTAGTAAATCAATTTTTTGCACTTCTTTATGATGATATATTCCCAAGATACGAAAATGTTCATCTCTGTCTATTTCTATATCATCTTTTATATCTTTTTCCCTTAAAATTAAAAGTTACATGCACATTTATTTAAAATATTTTGTTCTTAACAAAACAATCTTTCAAAAACTTACCAAGAGCTTAAAATGCACTCATCTTCCATTACGGATTCCCGATCTGTAACAAAATCAACATCCATTGATCCATCATTCATCCAAGAATCAATATCGTTGACAATTTCGGAGAAAATTTTTTCACCTTCTTGAACTTTGACATCTTCCACAGCATTGATGGATGCAAGGACGTTAGAGTTTAAACTGTCATTGTCATTTCTCAACGGATGAACATTTTCAGCATTGCTCTTATCATCATCATTGTTGAATTTATCAACTTGATTTTCTGAAGTTAATTCTACATAATTTTTATCCTGATATTCAAATTCATTTATGGAATTTGAAAACTTTTTAAATCTTTTAAGTTTTGTAAAGTTTTCTTCTTCTGAAAGTTTATGTCTTCCTAAAATATTTTTAGATATTGATGCTGATTTTGTATTCAAAGATTCCTTTAGGAGTAATTTACTTCTCAATATATGTTTATTTGTTGTGTCAGTCTGTAATTCCTCTGAGTCATTAATGTTTACAGATGGATTTGACAAAGACATAACCTCATTTTCTTTACCAACATTTGATCCTGAACATGATCCATGAATTGAATCCAAAATGTTTTCCTTTAATACTTTAGGTTTTTCATGGAAAAACGAAGTTATTTTTAAACATTTTAGTTCTTTATTCTTTCTCTGCCTTATATTCTTACGCATTTTTGTTAATTATCTACAAATATGTAATAAAAAATAAACATTTAAACACGTTCTTAACTTCGATTCCAACAATAACATTTCAAACTTGGCGGAAATTTTTAAATAAAAAGCGCCACCTGCTGTGTAAAATCAAAAAATTAATCTAAACACATTATTTTTCGAAATTTTTTCTTTTGGAAGTAAATTTTTAGATTAATTTACGTTTTTAAATTTTTATTCTAATAAGTATTTATTATATTTATTTTAAACCTAATTTATTTGATATTAAATATTTTACAATCAATTCGTGTTTTTTTTTTTTAATTATCGCTTGATTCGCTTGATAAAGACAATTTTCGGGCGACATGTCTCATAAATAATAATAATAATAATAATAATAGATAATTCATTAAAACTATAAATAAATCAGATTTACAACAGATATTTGTGGGTATAACAATAATGTTTTAAAAATTCTTTCTCCCCTGTGGGCACTAAAGAAGGTGTTTTTATTCTATGCCAATCATAGATTCAATCAGGCGCACAATGTGGCTCTTGGGTGGTAAGAGACGAGGTCTGACATATCCGAGACAGTCGACCACCCCCGAAAATTCCTGGGATAAATCCCAGGAATTTTCGGAGGTGGTCGACTGCCTGGATTCGATCCCGGATTGTCTACAGTAGTAGACTGGTGTCTTTGCTGCCTCAGATATCCCGCCGTTCCTGATGTGTCGGCCTCCGTTCCTCGTCCTTATTACGGGCCGAACCTATAATAAGTTTGATTAAAGGTCCTCTTAGTTCTCATAGGACGGAAAGAAAAAAATTAAAAGCCATTTAGCCACTCGCGCTCATGGTATAAATGACTTTGACTAAATCCTTCGGTAGGAAATTTCTATAGAAATACAGAACAATTTTAAGGCTTTTTTTCTTGAAATTTTGAAAAATCTGGAGTAATAAAGTCCAGTGGCGGGTCATTGTACAGGCGGAAAAAGAGCGCTATTGGAGCCTTTAAGTTAAAGTTAGTAGCTTGAAAAAGAGATACATTCGCTCGTCGGAGAGAAAGCCGATTCACGGCCAGAATCTCCATATAAACCCCGAAAGAAAGAAAGAAAGAGATACGTTTAGTGAGCCTCAGGTATAGTAGATACCATCTTCATCAAGACAATTTGCCGTAAACGGCATAGTAAACGTTTTTACTATTTGATAACTAATAAATAAAATTTCCTTTTCGATCGTGAGAAAATATCTTACGTAACTTAAGTAATATTTAAAATTCTTTGTGCGTTTACGTACAGTACATACTATCAAATCAAATAAGCACAGCTGATCACTTGCGAACCGAGCGAACGTATGGAAAAGTTTTAAACTTCTTGCGTTTGGTGTTTTTAGTGTCTTCTTTTATTTTTGTAAAGTAAACGTCATAAAGTAAGTATTCACGTATTATATCATTGTTTATGTTATATAGAATAAGCGCTGTTTAATTGTGATTATTGGTTATTACAATCAACAAGAAGGACCCATTCAAAACATAACACCGACTGCCGACTGCATTTTAATCACTTATTGGAATCTTACGATGGAATATTAAAATTGATCGATCAGTATTTTAATTTTTCGGTTGTTATATATAACAGGGAAAGTATGGCGATCGATCAAAAAATGTTCCCTCAAGAATTTTACATTTTTGGACACTGGGACGACGACCGTGAAACGTCGAGAAATGAAAAAAAGTTGATAGTTTTTTCTGTATTTATGGATGTTAGCATTTGTGTGTGGGGGATGTCACAATTTTGTTCAGCCACTTTGAAGCTTAAAGAAGTCAACATTGGTTCTTCTCAAGGGTAGATGTTCACCTAAGTAGCCTCAATGGCAGTATCCTGTTTAACAACTTAGTCCAGGCGACTGTGCCAGTTTCAAGTAGCCCACTTGACTGTTCGTGGAGTACTTGTTATTATGTAGTTTTAGGGGGTGTGGGAACTCACCCCACCTGGGTGCTAAGGTGGGAGCAATAGCGAGCACCGAGCGCATGCCTACATGCAGTGGTGATATTCAGCGGGTTCGCACAGGTTCGGCCGAACCCGTTGTTAACATTTTCAAAGTTTTCCGAACCTTGTTAAACACGTGTAACATTTCTCAATTGTTTTGATTCTTTTAAAAAATATATTAAAATATACATATTATAATCTGTAACACTACTAAACTAGAGCCTTCCGATGCACCATTTGAGCGAAAAAAAATTGTTAAGGAAAAATTTTCTGTTAGCGAACCCTTTGTTAAATATTTCGAATATCACCACTGCCTACATGAGAAGCATGGAGGATAGTGGGTAGACTGATACGTATTAAAAACTGATCTTCGGAGACAAATATCATGCAAAATCACACCACTCCTACAATTCAACAATTGTAGGAGTGGTATGATTTATGTAAAAAATAGAAATAAAACATCAATTTCACTAAAAAGGTAGTGAAAATGACCTTCGCTCTGATAAAGGTTATTTTGCAAAGGCCAATGGCAGCCGCCATTGGGGTTACCTAGGTGAACATTTACTTTCTTAAGAAACATGAATTCTTGATATTACAGAGGCTCTACAACCAGTTGGAATTGGAATCATTTAGACATTACAGCAAGCTGTTGATTTAGACTTTGTGTCAGATTTTGGGACAAGATTAAGCATTCCTTTAGCCACAAATGTAAGATTTCATCCTCTCAAAATAGCTCTTGATCTGAATGTTCAATCAACATATTTTGATATTGACTGCTATCATATATACCCAAGTTGTTTGGCTTTACATTTTGAATGTGAAAAAGTCAGTTGTAGAAACAACTTTCATTTTAGTGACTGTTCCATTATGGAAAAGTGAAGATGTATTCTACTTGTTCTCGTGGGGTCTTGAGAACATTCTGTCTGAAAAACTCAACTACTCGAGAATACCTAAATAACATCTGAAGGTACAACAGTGTTTTGTTGTTCGCCTCCTTCATTGCTAATGAGACCGTAGCTCCGGCTGGCTGCAGACTGTGCATGTTTAAGCTCAATGGGCAGCCTCATTACAAATATGGACCTTTATATCCTGAGAGACCTGAAGAGCAAGCATATGCTCAGCTTTACATTATAGGCACTGCAGAAACAACAGACATCAATCAGAATGTCTAGAAATGCAACTTGCAATCCAGAGCTAATGATGAGATGCTATATGACATGATTGCTGAAGTGAATCTCTTCACACAATGTTACAGAATGGTGCATACTTTGAGTTGCAAGAAATAGCTGTATCAAGGCAATCTCTAGAAGAAATTTTTAGCTCACAAGTCAGATAACAACTCATTAACACTTGACGAAATGAGGTGTTGAGACATTTTGTGTCCAAAGAATTTGTACTGTACAGACATAAATGATAAAATTGTTGCTGTCCTATCTGGAAAAGAGAAAATGTATTTGAGCTTATACAGCATAGTTTCCATAAGATATCCAATAGAATTTACATGATTGAGATGTGTGGACTTCCACCACATAAGTTAACATTAAAGATCAGAACTGAAGTCATGCTCATCAGGAACCTTGACACAAAAAGGGTTGGTTAATGGGAATAAGATTAATTATGTAGTATGTTTGACATCACAGTTAATGTTCAGATCCTGACAGGTACACATCACTGAACCATTTACATGCTTCATCAGATACCATTAACTCCAAGTAATAGCACTTCTCTTTGTACAGTTAAACAGCTTTAATTTCCCCCATCATCCTGGCATTCACCATGACAATGAACAAAAGTCAAGGACAGACTCAGTAAAGTTAGTATTTATTTACCAGAGCCAGTTTTCAGTTATGATAGACTATATGTGACTTCATCCTGATCCAGATCATAAAAATCTGTCCCAGTAAAAATTTCACACTTAAATCTCAATGATTTGCATGTCTGGGAAGGATGGACTCAAAATATTGTATTTCAAGACGTTCTAAAATAAGTTTCAATTAAATTGGCAAATGGTATTTTGACAGTTTAAAAAATAAGATTGTCTTCTTTTTCAAAGATGATCTTTTATTTGAGGCTACGTCTCTTCAATATGTTGTAAAACAGTTAAAACAATTACTGATGATATCATCAGTTAACTGTTTTATGTAATTTTGTAGCAGCATAGATAATAAAAGATTGTCTCTGCAAAGAAAGACTGTTTTGTTCTTGGTGATTGGACATGATGGAATTAAAGATGACTTGGTTTCTTCTATATTTTTTAAATTCTGAAGTAAACTTGAACATCCAACTGTTGATAGGTCTACGAGTTTTATTCGCAAGGTGATTGGCATGAGGCAGGCTGCCACTACTGTCACCACCAGTAGCATACCCAGTATCTGAACTAGAGGGGGGCAACTCATATTAGTTTTGAGGAAGTGGGGAGGGAGAGGTCTGTGCTGTGTGTCAATTACTACACTTTTTCTTCTAAAAGGGGAGCTGCCTTCCCTTGCCCCTCACTGGGTATGCCCTTGACTGTCACCACTAATCTGAATCCCCACCAGTTGGAGTTGGTTGATCTTAAGAATGTTAAATTGCCACCCTGGGATCTGGATGCAAAATTGAAAGAAGCCTCATCGAGTTGAAAATAGGCAGACATAAATTACCTATAAATAGACCTAGAAAACATTTGCTATACTGATGATTTTTGTGTAGAATGACAAAGTTTAATTGAATAAAACATTGATTTTATTAATCTTCCACTAGCGAGAACCTAATATAATAGATAAAATTTTGTCTATACAAGTACCTCTCTGTAAGCACTTTGCAAATACAGTGCTTTTCAATGATATTCCTGTTTATTATTTTTGGTGTTTGCCTTCTTCTTAAAGTTTTTGAAGGCTTTTCTTTATTTGTTATTTTACTATTGCATTGTTTTTATGCCTAGCCCTATGGTACACTTAATATATAATAGTATATGTTCTTAGGCCTTTATATGCACTGGCAAAGAGACAAGTGGAAAATGTTTGTGATTTAAGATGGTAGTAGTTTTTTGTTTTCAGTTTTGATTCTCTGCTATGTGGGCACTAATTCCATACCCATCATGGATATGGCTGGGTAGAGAGGAATAGAGCTCAATGTATTTAGGATAGACCATCTGTGAAAAATTACTTGCAGAGATTCCATCTCAGATGCTCTAAAAAGTAGTAGGCTGACAGCTTAACCATGTTGACCATCCTGCAATCTAAAGTAGTGGCCAGTAGTCTGCCTTATTAGCAAGATATGCCAGTATCAATCAGCAAACTCAGTTCTTTTTTTAAAAAATGCCTACTGTAATAGTCATTTTTTAGACATTAAGTAGATATTTTTAATTTTGGTTTTTAAAAATAATGAGCAATTATTTAATGTGACATCATTACAATGCTGGAATGCAATTTTTCACAATGCTCTCCACCTCAAATTAGTACTGTAGTGTTTTGTCCCTGTACATCTTACTTTTCCTTTAACAATAGAGTCGTGCCAGTCATCTAGTAACTGCTTACAGGGGAACATTTTTGAATTGATATAACTTGACTTCTGGTTTGCATCAGAAGTTCGTATATAATTAATTGGCACCTCCTGCTCCTAAGGTTTCCATATCTGGTCTTGGATTTCATCTATCTAACTGTGTTCTTAAGATTAAGGAAAGAGATGGATGGACGACAGTGGGAATTCATAGGTCTACAATTTTTTCAAACTGCAGCCCAATAAATGTTTTATAATGTTTGTCTTTTAGGTAATTATTTTTACATAAATTCTTTAAATACTTTTTAAGCATTTGCCTTTAATATGCAAAATTAATTATTTTGAAATTTGATCCATAATTTACTTATCAATTTATTCAGAAATAAAATGAAAATTTATTTATTTTTATATATATTTTTTAAAACAACTATTATTGTGTCAATAAAAACAAAAATGTTTTCATTGGATTAAAAAAGATATTCAATAATACATACAGTAAATGAATCTAACTGTTAATTATAAATTTTTATTTTTGTAGTGAATATCTACTATCATGTAATAATATTTTAAATCTAACTTGATCAGTGACAATGCTAAGGATTTAGAATAATTCAATATTTAATTTAAAGAGAGATAAAAAGAAATGTGGGCTTTATCAGGCAGATCAGACATTTCTTGGGTCCCAAGCACAACCTGGTTTTGAAGCCTCCTTCTTCTAAATACTAAGCAATGTTATCAAATCAATTTATAACTTTAAAAAAATTCAGCAACAATTTGTAAAACTTCCCTGGCAAAAAAAGTTAAAATTGTGTGTTTAGTGCCACTTATAAAAATTTAAAAAAATAAAATCATAATATTATTATAAGATGGCAAAAAGCTTAATTTTGAGGATAGAGATGAGTTTTATAAAAAATTAATTGCTAATAACGAGTAAAATCTTTGTTAAGTCCGACCCCACTCAAGATATGACACACAATCCTATATATCTTCCTAACCCCTTGACCTTTAACCACCAAAATTTAATAGCATCAATGCCCCTAACACACAAAGCTCCCTGCAAAATTTCAGATATTTTCAACAAAATACACAGGCATTATTAACCATTGTTGTCATAATGCATGTTCTTCACATGACTATGCACTGTACTTCCAATTTCAGTTGTATTCTCTAATACCAGAAGGCTCTTTCTTCTCCATTTTCTTGGCTGTGTAATTTCATTATCTTGAACTAGAATAACTTCCATTTCAGTCAGCTGTCTAATGTTGAGGATCTGTTACCATCAACATCTAAAACTTTCTCATGTTCCTCAATGTTAAATAAGAAAATGAATTATTAAATTAAAAATAGGCTAATTATGATGTAATTAGTATGATAATTTTACCATAAACTACACTATTTATCTTAATTATCAATTATAGGAGGAGAATAATTTTAAAAAATATAAAAATAAAAAGCATGCAGATTAATTAAATTGACTATTTATAACTCAAAATAATGATGAATTATGTTGTTATAAACACTTAATTTTAACTCTTTAAACTCTAAAAATTTCTTCTCGCCATGTACTGGATACAAAATTTTTATCTTTCAGATTAAGCTTTAGTAATGAGAAGTCTTCTTTGCAGTAGTGGAAGAGTTCAAACATTTTTTCATGATGTGTGGTTATGGAAAATGATTTATGACCATACAAAACAACAATCTCTTGAAATATCATCCACATTCTTTCATGTAAAACTCAGTAAAAACTGTTCAAAATGATAGCTATTTTGATGATAACTGAGTTACAAATCAGTTTACTGGATGGAAAATCATTCAGAACTGACTGGGGCTGCAGAAAATTTTCTTGGTGCTAGCATGTAATTCATTAGTCTAGATTCATTAGTCCATTTTATAACAGATTACTTCTCCTTATTTTGCCTTTTGTTGTGCTGTATCAAAATTGCTGTTTCATGAAGTCCTTTATAGGTTTGGCCAGATATGCAATAGGGAAACAGAGTTCAATACATGAAAATCAAGACCAAATATAGAAGCTTAGTGGCAGGATGTCCTGATTAATTGTACATAATTCAAAAAGTTCTTCCCCAAAAGGAGTTATAATAATCAACAGCTTCTCACTGGTCATTATCTATTTACAGTATGAAAAATTATATTTTTTAGTGCACTATCAGCTGCCCTAAGTATTTGGCCACCCACGTGCATGTACGCACTACATACCTACCAAAACTGGCCCCGAATCTTATGAAATGAATTAATTTCTTATTGTATAATGAATTAGTGACGCACAAATGGAAAAAACCTGAAACATTTTTTAGTGTCACTACTATGAAATAATCATTAAAAATTGATTACAGCTAATTAAAAATACAGCAGATTGATTGTGATCAATATGGATTATTATTAATTATTTATTTATAAAAATATTTTGTGTCAATACACACTTTAGAATCTTCATTTAACATATTTAATATCTCAAGTACATTTTCAATTATATAATGTAATTTTTAAATCAAATTTGCAATTATGTAAATGTTATAATATATATATATATATAAAATAAGATTTCATTTATAATAGAAATCTTAATCTCTAATTAATTCCTTTGTTTAACTATCCAGGATATCAGGTAAACAACTTTATTCATAAAGAAAAATTATATTTGAATATCATGGCAAAGAAATTGGGCAATTAATTCCGACCCACACTGTGCGTCTGACTGGGTGGATCGATGCGATAGATATATTCTGCAATATTATAATAAGCAAGATACTCCGCTTCTTCTGGAGTGGTGTCGGTATGATAATGACCACCCTCTCCATGCTCGCTGAAACAATGCGTGTGTTCCACTCGAAGATCTAAGCCCTTTAAACATAACATTAAAATAAAAATTGGAACATTATTATTTATTTCTAATATTTAATTATATTTACAAAAAGGATATATAGGTAAATTTACTTACAGGGTCAAAAGATATAAAAGTACTCAAGCATATTAAAGGTGCATTCATGTTGTAAAATTTTAACCAATTATCTACATCTTCATCAGTGTTCAATGGTTTGGTAGAAAAATCAGGCTGAAATATATGATTAAAATTTTACTTTACTTTTTAAATTTTAATTTAATTTAAATTTCCAATTAATACTTTAATTTATAGTTTAAAAATAATTTATATAAAATATCACATTCAATTTATGTTGGTTGAATGACCACATAATAAGATGTCAGTCTACGCTATGGGAATTCAAATTCAATTCTGATCTAACTGCTCATAATTTATAACTGATCGTATAAATCAGAGCATTATTCTTAATCAGCTGTGTATCTGATTAGTAAGGGTCAAGCTTTTCCACAAGGTGATAAAATTGCATTTTTATCGTAAAAGGCATTGAAAGCACTATCATATAGACAACTTTCTACTAGAAATTATACTTATAAAAAATTAATATCATAAAATGCACTCTTATTAGTCTAAACCTGCATTAATATTAACCAATTATATTCATGTTTTTTACCATGTTAATTTTAAATTTTATGCAGTTTTGAATTTGTTTAATTATAATAAATTAGTGTAAGTAAAATGTGCAGTATCATGTATTAAATAGAAATGTTTTGAGAAATTTCCATTAGTTATAGTAAATTTGTGAGATTTATAGTTTATATATAGATTTATAGAGATTTATATGCTAAAAGTGATGAAAACTATTCCTAGTAGGCCAGCCCACTTTCTTAATTTATTATATACTTATTTATTTTTAAAATATTGACTATATTTAATTTTTCTTTCTAACTTTTTAAGTCTATATTTTTAAAAATTTATAGCTGATTTTAAAATTATATCATTAATAATCAAAATATCATGCTTTTTTATATATCAAATCAAACTTGCTTGAAGTTTAAATTGACATTGTAATTATTGCTCCCATGGCAGCTGCTCTTAGGAGAAAAATTCAGTTAATAACCACATATTTTAAGAAGTTAAAATTAAATATCAGTCCAAATAAATCATATATAATGGTATTTAGAAATGGGACCAGACTTCCCAAAAAGAATATGTCTTTTCACATCAATAATGTAGAGTTAAAATTGGTAAATGAAATTAAGTTTCTTGGAATAATAATAACACCCATTCTATCCTTTGATAGACAAATCAAGGCATCGATGGTTAAGGCCAATAAGCTAATTAATGGTGCAATGAAGCTATTTTCTGTAAGTAACTTAAAAAATATTCTAGTTCAGTTTACCTTGTTTAATTCAATAGATTATAATGCAGTGTGTTAAGCATTTCTAATATGGTGTTTATCCAATTATCAAAAGCTGGAAATAATCCAGAACAAATTTATGCGAAGAATGTTTTTATTGGAATTCAAGGTCCCTGGTAGCGCTTTAAGGTTAGAGTTAAGTAGATTCAGTCTCACAGCATTATTTATTAAGAGATGTGTGAAATTCCTAATGAAATTTAGGGATAGTGGTCATATTTCATCCAGTCTTTTACACCAGTTGTACCAAAAATCAGTACAAAAAGTTCCGAAAAGGAATTTGGTTGGCCAATTGACTAAGGTGGTTAATGGTTTTGGCTTTTCAATAGAACTGTTTATATACTTGCCAGAGATAAGTGGAGAGTTGTGTAACCAATTAACCCAAAATATATTGGATAATTTATTGTCACGTGACATAGAAGGCATTCGGTCACGTATTTCACCGAATTGGTATATCTCGATATTGGACTTCCCTAATATTAATAGTTATATATTATCTAATTTGCCTTTTAATGTGAAGAGGTTTTTTTTTATTCAACTTCATCTCAATAGTGACGTAATAGTGATAGATAATAAATTTTATGTTTATGCTAACAATGTTTGCCCAAGATGCAACAAGGACTTTTCAAAATTTCATTTGATTTGTGAATGTGAAAAGGCCAATGGTCTAAGACAAAAGTTTGATCTTTGATCTTTGATATTGGGAGATTTACAGGTAGTGAAACAAAGCAGAAGAATGCACTGAAGAAGAAGTACCTGAGACAAAGCAGAGATCTCTTGCATCTTGTCTGGTATGAGTACCATATGCTGCCACTTATGTGGTCCATTCATAATGCTTCCCATTTGTTTAATTTTTGTATAAAACCTCAAGATGGAATTTTTGTTTGGTGGTGTGATGTTTGGTTATTTAGCTTGAAATGCATTTGTAACTTTTGCATAGGATTTTATTGTTCCATCTTGAGGTTTTAAGCAAAATTTAAGTGAATGGGAAGCAAAAAGCATTTTCAAACTTTTCAAACATGAATTATGTAATAATTCGTTGAATAACACACATTTACTATGCTGACTACATCCCTACTGACAAACTATGCCATCTGTGTGTTGAGATTAGTATTCATAAAGTGCATCAGAGTCATTTTGGTGGTTCTTAAACTTTGGTTTGCATTTTAATTCTGATGTTCATATACATATTTACAAGGTGCTTGTAGCATGTATCTTGAGAAAATCATCATAAGCAATTATAGTAATTTTTATAATTTTTGTATATAGTGAAATTTTATTTAATTTATAATAAAAATGAAAATGAAAAGATCTGTTACATATTAAAATTGTAGAAATAAATTAAGAAGTGAATCTTCCTATTCTCTCTTATATTTTAAAAATCAATTGACTAATTTTTATTAAACTTAATATAATCTTTTTATATAAAAATTACTTTAATCTAAATAAATTGAAACAAGTTAAAACTTTGTGTACTTACCATAACATGCAGTTTAGCTTTTCCTTTATTTATAAGGAAAACGCCACCCATTCCAACAGACTTTTCCTTATAGTGATTTGCTAAAATTTTTCTCATGGCTGTAACAAAATTATCAGAACCTATTCGTTTTCTTGCAAAAATCTTAAGAACCTAAGAAATTTTTTAAGAATTATTATTATTATTATTAATTGTTTTCAAATTTTTAATAAATAAAATATCAAAATCAGTTTTAGATAATATTCAATTACATAAGTTATCATTTGTTTATGAAATATATAAACATATACAGGATAATCAAACGAAACATTTACTTCTGGAAAGGAGTAGACTTCACAATGCACAAGAAGTTTAAATGTTATTCTTGTGTCTATAATAAACAAACATTCAAGAGTTAAGAGTTTCTCATGATATGTATTAAGACAGTAATAACCTTGGCTGTCAAAACTTCTTCTTCCAAGAACGTCAGTCTATGAGGCGTTAAATATAATTGAAATTATTTTAATTTACGAGCGCTTTCGACGTAAATAAGCACGTCGTCTTCAGGTAAAATTAAATTCGAATAAAGAATTCGAACCATACATTTAAATTTAAAACATTAACGATACTAGCCGTTTTTGAACATACAAAAAAGATTTTAAATTTAAATTTTTAGAATTAAACATTTAAAATTGGTGCGCATGCGTTTTAAAACAAATAAACATCGATTGGAGTGGCTATTAATTATT